AAAAAATATTTTTCTTTCAACACTGTCTGGCTTTTCATTTGACAGTAGTACAATTCGTTTTGAAAGTTTAAACTTTTAAAATTAATGGCCGGAAATTTTTTGAAATGACAGTTAATTGACATTCGTTATGAAAGCTAACTGCTTACTACTAAAAAGAACCAATGCAATCTTTTAATTATAACAATGTTTTTTTTTTATTTTAGCATCGATCGTTTACTCCCACCATGGCGCCTAAGCGCAAAAGAAACGGGCAAACTCTTGATCCCCCTTCTGATGAAATTAATTTGAGTAATCAATTTGATTTGCTCACGGATGATGAGAATGATCCATCATCCAAAAAAATTCTAGTAAACTTTCCCGGCTTAATGCCAAGAAGAAAAAGATTCCCCCTATTGTGATAACCACTTCCGATTTCCATGCTCTTGGCATGGAACTTTTGAACTTCGTGAAAGTTAAGTTTTCATTACAAATTGGACGTCGGGGTGAATGCCGTGTATTGGCTGAAACCTTGGACGGATTTAAATGTCTTCTCAAGTATCTTACTGAGAAGAAGCACAAATTTTTTACTTACGACACCAAAACTGAACGTGTGTTCAAGGTTGTCATGAAAGGACTGCCCAGTGGTGAATTTCTGGATCAGATCAAAGATGAACTGTCAAAATTACTTGGAGTTGTGCCACTTCAAGTAATCAAAATAAAAATGAAATCCCGTCCTGGCGATTCGCGCAACGGGATGTCTAATGATTTTTATTTATTTCACTTGAAGTCTAGTGAACTAAGCAACCTTAATGCCTTAGGATAAGCTAGCCTTATGCTCCATGTCCGAGTGAAGTGGGAACACTTCAGGAAGACTGGAGGAAATTTCCAAAACCTCACCAAGTGCCGAAAGTGCCAGGGATGGGGTCACGGAACTAAAAATTGCTACATGCCAGCTAAATGCATGAATTGTGGTGATTCCTCTCACGCAAAGGACGACTGTCCTGTGAAGGAAGATCCTAAGAAATTTAAATGTTCAAATTGTGGTTAAAACCACAAATTCAATTGTTGGGAATGTAAAACTCGCAAAGCCATCCTACAATCTCGTTCTAACCGTCACGTTTCCGACCAGGTACAAATTCCTCTGCTGTTAACAACGGTCAGCGAGGAACAAATTCTACATTCGTACCCGTAGGTACAAATATCACCCCTGCTTCAAATGTTTCATCTGTACCTACTCCCTTCGCTGCTAACAATGGAGTTAATGGAGCTAGATATGCTGCTATTGCAACGGGTAGAAATCAAAATACTAACCAACGTTATAACGGAAATTTTGACAATTTTGACTTAGGAAGCATTACTGCCCCTAAAATGGTATTTTTACAGAATTCATTAATTGACATGATTTCTGATATGTTTAAATCTAACTCCATTTTTGATGCTATTAAAAATGGAGTAAAATTTGCTAATAATATTGCGCGTTTCACACCAAATTGGACTAATAAGCGCGTTTTCACTTATTAAAAAGTGTGATAAAACTGCAAGTTTACGTCTAATCGTCTTGGTGCCTTCGGTGCACTTATTTCTTATGATGCAAGCAATAAGCAATAAGTGCTCCGAAGACATCAAAACGATTTGATGGAAACGTGCACTTTTATCACACTTTTTGCATTTTTGGGACAGTCCAGTTTCAGATGCAATCAGCAATATTGTCATGGCTTTAAAATTCAGTAATGGATTTTAAAGCTTTAAATATTTTAAATTGGAATGCTCGATCTCTTAAAGATAATAAAGACGAGCATATTGCCGTTATAACTGAAACGTTCCTTAAACCTGACCATAAGGTTAAGAAGGACTCAAATTATTTAATGTATAGAAATGATCGTCTTGATGGACCCTGTGGTGGCGTTGCCATCATTGTTCATAGACGAATCAAACATAAAATTCTTTCTTCATTTGAAACCAAAGTTTTTGAAACTTTGGGAGTTTCTGTTGAAACAAAATTTGGACAACTTACGTTACAACTTACTGCCTATTTGCCATTCCAATGCGTAGGCCAGCAAAAGAATTTTCTCAAGGGTGACCTCCAGAAACTTACCCCTCATAGGTCTAAATTTTTCATTATTGGTGATTTTAATGCAAAACACCGCTCATGGAATAATCCTCAAAGCAATTCCAATGGTAATATTCTGTTTGATGATTGTTCTGCAGGTTATTACACTATTCAATATCCAAACAGCCCAACATGCTTTTCTTCTGCAAGAAATCCCTCCACTATTGATTTGGTCTTAACTGATTCATGTCAACTTTGTAGCCAACTGGTTACCCATGCTGACTTCGGTTCTGATGACCTTCCAGTAACTTTTGAAATATCCCAAGAAATAATTTGTAATCCCAACAGCTCTACTTTCAATTACCATAGAGCTGATTGGGAGCAGTATCGAACATTTATGGAATATAACTTCGATCCAAACATTCCTTTGCAAACCAAAGATGAAGTTAATTATGCTCTTGAATCTCTGACTACTTCTATAGTTGAAGCAAGAGCTGCCTCAGTTCCAAAATGCGAGGTTTACTTCGATTCAATTATAATAGATGACGATCTTCAGCTCTTGATCCGTCTTAAAAATGTCCGTAGGAGACAATATCAAAGAACACGCGATCCTGCCATGAAAGTTATCTGGTGGGATTTGCAAAACCAAATTAAAGAGCGTTTCTCTGCCCTGAGGAACAAAACTTTTGAAAATTATGTTTCTAAACTAGACCCGAGTTCCAAACCCTTTTGGAAACTCACAAAAATTTTGAAAAAACCTCAAAAGCCTATTCCAGCGCTTAAAGAAGGTGGTAAAATTTTGATCACAAATCTGGAAAAAGCTCAGAAACTTGCTAAGCAATTCGAGAGTTCCCATAATTTCAGTTTGGGTCTTACTAGTCCTATTGAGAATCAGGTTGCTCGGGATTATCTGAATATTTTCTCTCGGGAAAATATTTTTGATGATTCCTGGGGGACTGATTTGGACGAAGTAAGGTCTATAACTAAAAAGTTTAAAAATATGAAAGCTCCAGGTGATGATGGAATTTTCTATATCCTCATCAAAAAACTCCCCGAGAGTACCTTGTCTTTCTTGGTAAGATTATTTAACAGATGTTTCCATTTGGCATATTTTCCTGATAAATGGAAAAAATGCAAAAGTTGTTCCGATTTTGAAGCCGGATAAAAATCCAGCTGAAGCTTCTAGCTACCGTCCAATAAGATTGCTTTCTTCAATAAGTAAACTTTTTGAAAAGATAATCTTAATTCGTTCAAACAAATCTGAGAGCCACTCAACTGGAGTTGCTCTTCTTGACATATAAAAAGCATTCGACAGTGTTTGGCATGAAGGTTTGATTGCTTGATTGAAAAAGTTTAATTTTCCACTTTACATTATGAAATTAGTTCAAAATTATTTAACTGACAGAACACGGCAGGTAAATTATCAAAATTCCAAATCTAATCGACTACCTGTTAGAGCAGGAGTTCCTCAGGGTAGCATTTTTGGGCCTATATTGTATAACATTTTCACTTCGGACCTCCCTGATTTGCCTCAGGGTTGCCACAAATCTTTGTTCGGAAGGAAGAAGTCTTCGTGTTATTTGCAGCAGACTGCAGAAAAGTTTAGATATTTTCTCTTCTTATTTACAAAAATGGAAGATTTCTCCCAACGCTTCCAAAACTAAACTTATAATATTTCCACATAAGCCTAGAGCTTCGTTTTTTAAACCTAGTAGTAGTCACATAGTCACTATGAACGGAGTTCCAATTTCCTGGTCAAACCAAGCGAAATATCTTGGATTAATACTTGATCAAAAATTAACTTTTAAAGATCACATTGAGGGCATTCAAGCCAAACGTAACAAATTTATAAAATGTTTGTATCCTCTTATAAACAGAAAATCCAAACTTTACCTGACGAATAAACTTCTAATATTTAAACAAGTTTTTAGACCGGGCATGTTTTATGCTGTGCCAGTATGGTCTAGTTGTTGCACTACCAGGAAAAAAGCACTTCAAAGGATTCAGAACAAAGTTCAGAAGATGATTTTGAAGTTGCTTTCCTAGTACAGTACTACCAAGGCACAAATAATTTCAAATGTTGAGACTTTACAACAAATTTCTAGCAAAACTAAATAATAATTTTAGGCAAAAATCGTAGCAATCCTCAATTGCAACGATTAATTCCCTTTATACTTAGATAAGATTGAGTTTTAGTTTTTAGTTTTAAGATGTCTATTGTTATACTGAGATGCAGGTTGTGAAAACCTGTTTAAAATACTGAACAGCCAAGGCAGGAACAATGTAAAAACACTTAGATATATATCATAACAATTAAGGCTTGTAAGTTACTGTAGAAGCAGAAGCACCTAGGTTAACATGGAATGTAATTTATTTTGAATTTGGATCAAACAAAAAGTAAAAAAAAAAGATTATTGTAGATTACATAGTCAGATAAAGCTGAACTATCACGTTTAAGGATCCATAGAAATTAACCCGAAAACTGCTTACAAATGCTTCGGGTTATCTTCTCAATCTTGTGTGAGGTGGTTGCACCCCCGAGCAAAGTCTGAGATCAAATGGAAATCTAAATTTGATGTTGTGATGTTGCTGACAATTATTACTTAGGCTGCTGTTGTTTTGGTCGTTTTAACTGTTAAAATATCAAACATGAGAGCAAGTATTCAATGATGTCTGAGGTCAAGACTCGGGTAAACCATCAAAGTAGATATATTTCGGCTTTGAAGACTAAAACCCTGAGTTGCATTATACTATTGAAGTACTTAAATTTTCATCATTACCAGTTAAGCGTTACTATAAAATACTATAAAATGAAAGGCATCTTAGAAAGCATTCGCACGATAGCTCGAGAAAGTCCCTACTGACATCCCTACACTGAACGCACGATCGCGACAATGCTCGGTGGGCCACCGTCGGGCGAGGGCCGAATGTAGCATGAAATCAGCTCGCATCTTCGCGGCAATTTAGTATTGCTTCGAACGTTCAGAACATTCGATGGTACATCGGTTTCCCGACGGACGGACAGTCGCTCGCTTCTGCAACGCCGCCGTCGTCGTCGTTGTCGTATCACACGCACTCGCACTGTAATCGATCGCAACCGGACCGGACCAGGAATATCCGTGCACGGTCAGGACGTTTGAGAGCAATTAAATCTTGGTTCCGAAAGCAAAGTTATCCCTTTCATTCGAACGTTCAGCGTCGTGGTAGTTTTCCCGGCCTTCTCAATTCAATTAATTTAAAGCCGAATTAAGTGATTTCTTCGAGCAAGGACCCCGTGAGTAGTTAGGACCCACGACCGAGTAGTGCAGAACGGAAATTTAATTAAGAGGAAAATGATTGGATAAGCGTCGGGCGAAAGTTGATAGAGCAAGCGAAACCAGTTTAATTTTTTTTTATTTCGGGGTGAAATTTTACCTCAACGATGTTAAAGCCCGCGGGCCCAGAAGGAATGGGCCTGGGGAAACGGATTTTGCGAACGATACGGCCCGGTCGTAGACAATCGGTGCCGTTCACATCCTGGGTGCTGGTGATAGTGCTAGGTGTGCTGCAGTTTATCGATCCTTCGGAAGCGGTGGTAAGTACCTACATTGAAAAATTATCCGTTTATAGTGCAGGAAATGAGCGAGGAGGTTGCGATCGTGGAAATCGTCGCAGTACCTGAAGAATAGAATCGTCTCTAAAGTATGATTATTTGCTATGAAACATATGTACTGCTTGATCTTTGTCTGTTTTAATATTAATTGAGTTTGGTTCAGAGAGGAATGTGGATTACCGAAATCGGTAACATTATACCAAATTTTCAACTGTTCCAGCGTTCAGTTAAACTTTTATCACTTTACCTTCATTTTATGAGCCAGTTTTCTAGAAGAAGACTATTTACTTTATTAAAACATCTACATCTGTTAACCGTGAAGAAGTTTCTTAGGTTTTAAAGTGGTCAACCCAATATATCGTGATGCCTAAATTTACCTGTTAAAATTTCAGAGACAATTTAAAAGGGCATACTAAAATTGAGTAGCATATGTTTGATTAATGTGAGACACCTCCCCCCGTTTTTATCCTGATCGGATGTTTGGTTCCGGAGATCACAACAAATATCTGAAATTTTGAAACTAAACTGAAATACTCGCTCAATTTTCTCAGAGGTGGTTAGATCGATATGAGTACAATCAGCTCCGTTTGGTGTCTATCTGTCTCCATAGTATTCAATTCAATATTATCTCGATCAGATATTTGGTTCTGGAGATATGAGCAAATAAGTTAAAAACTTGCAATCGTTCTGTAATACTCACTCTTTTTTTTTTTCTTGGAGATGGCTGCACCTAGTGAAATTGGTTTCATTTCGCTTATTTTTGACTCACATAGAATCCTATTTTAGTTGTTCCCGACCGAACGTTCGCTTTTTTCGGAGATGGCTGAAGCGGTCCTAATTCAATTAGTTTTCCCAATCCTGCTATTGATTTTTTGATAAGCAAATGAATAGTTTCGTTCTGTCTCCCATACATTTCCCACACAAACTTTAAAGTTCTCTCGAAAATCACGATCGTGACCAAATTCGTTCGAATTTAGTACACTTGTTGGGTACCTCAATACAGATCTAAAGAGCGATGGAGATCAGGGGGCGACCTGACGACGCAGGCATCAAAATATAGTATCCGGATAGTATCCGCACAATATAGGTTGCCGATAGGGAAGGCATCCAGATAAGGTGTAGTAATAATATAAATTGAACGAAAATTAAATTAACGAGGCCATTCTGGACTCCAAGATGGTGGTCATCGGGGTCAGGGAAAGTCTCAAATACCCCACAATATGGGTATTTTCGGAACGAGCACGACATGAAGGTGCGGAAAATCGATATTCGGCGTTATTTTGGAATCCAAAATGGTGGCCATCAAGTTTCCTAAAACGTGTCAAATACCCTAAGATATGGGTATTTTCGGAACGGAGACAACGCGTGGCTGCCGAAAATTGATATCCGATGTCATGTTGGACTCCAATATGGCGTCCATAGGGTTTCACAAAAGGTGTCAAATACCCTACAATATGGTTAGTTTCAGAACAGGGACAACGCGTAGATGCCAAACATCGATATCAGATACCACTTAGGAATCCAATATGGCGGCCATCATGGTTCAAAAAGTGTCAAATACCCTACAATATGGATATTTTCGGAATGAGGACAACGTGTACATACCAAAAATCGATATTCGATGCCATTCAATATGGCGGCAATCGGGTTTCACAAAAGTGTCAAATACTCTAATATCTGGGTATTTTCGGAACGGGGACCACGCGTAGATGCTGAAAATCGATATTTGATGCCATTTGTTGGATATTTGACACTTCTTCTTAAATTGAATTTCAAGATGGCGTCGCACATCGATTTCTGGCTTTTAGATATCAGCCCGATTCCAAAAAAGACGGCGTGACATCAATTTTCGGGATCTGTGTCTCATCCCCATCCTGAAAATACCCATATTTTAGAGTATTTGACACTTTTCCGCAAATCAGAAGCCGCCGTTTGGATTACAAAATGGCGTCGGATATCGATTCCCGGCTTCTAGAAGTTACCCGGATTCTTAAAAAAAAAAACGTTTGGGTTTTCCAGAGTAATTTGAGATTTGGGCATAATTGGGTAATTGCATTTGTAAACAAACACGTCAATCACCGATTTCTCGCGAATATAAGCTCAATCTCAAAAACTACTAACGCTATGATGTACAGGAATGATTCCTCTATCATTTGGTATAGTTTGTTTATTAAATTGAGCTTTATTTCAAGTGAAATCGGCAATTGACGTCTTTGTTTACAAATGCAATTACGCCCAAATCTCAAATCACTCCGGATTTGATGGATTACAAAATGGCGTCGGATATTGATTTCCAATCTCTAGACGTCACCCCGATTCCAAAAATACCCATATTGATAGGACGGCATCAGCATTTCCCTTTTTCTTCTGAAATAGGAAGCCGTCATATTGGATTTCAAAATGGCATCGGATATCAATTTTCGATCTGTAGACTTCATACCGATTACAAAAATACCTATATTAATGGGTATTTCACAATATTTCCCACTTGTTCTGGAATCGAAAGCCGCCATCTTGGATTTCGAATTGGCATCGCATATCAATTTTCAATCTGTAAACTTCATACCGATTACAAAAATTCCAATATTGATGAGTATTTGACTGTATTTCCACTTTTTCGTAAATCGGAAGGCGCCATCTTCGATTTCAAAATGGCGTCGGATATCGATTTTCATCCTCTAGACATTATCCCGATTGCAAAAATACCTTTATTGATAAGTATTTGACAGCATTTCCCACTTTTTCTTAAACTGGAAGCCGCCATCTTGGATTTAAAAATAACGTCGCATATTAATTTTCGATCTCTAGACGTCACCCCGATTCAAAAAGTACCCATATTGATGGGTAAACAAACCACCCAAGAATGATAAATTTTACAACCACGTGCACAGATCTATGCGCACACGCTTAAATGAACCGAGTGAACAATCAACAAAAGTCTTAAAAACTGCGCGAATTTGGATCAAACAGCTTCGCTTCAATGCAAAAGTAAGTTCATTTGACAATGAAAGAAGAAATGAACACGAGTCAAGCCAAAACAAACAGCATGAAAACCGATCGAAAGTGGTTCTGTTGATGTTGACGAGGATCTGCTCGAAGAGAAGACAGAATGACTTTCAATTGAAAGTGATGGTTGAGAGCTTCATCGTCACTTGAAGATTTTCGATTGAAAGTGACTTTGTGGGGCCCTGGTGCTCTCAACTAAATTCTAAATGCACTTCCACAGTTATTAGTTGAGAGCTTTCGATGCCAATACCAATGCATGAATTTATATATTATGTGGCGAGCACAATGATATTCTATGCCCAGGAAAGTCGAGAAAATTTCCAACCCGAAAGATTTTCTCGACCGGACCGGGAATCGAACCCGCCACCTCCGGCTTGGTACTACCGTGCCTGTACTGACTAGGCTATGAGGCCCCTAGTCAGTCTTAGTCAAATTGTCTGAATTCGGAATTGGTACAAGGAAGGGCCCAAAATCTATTTCGAGTAAAAAATCATCCTTCGACATTTGAATTGTCATAATTTATTTAAATACCTTATCTTACCTCACCAATCAGGCTAAGGCCTTGATGTCCTATGCTGTCCAAAGAAGTCGACAACACTCTACTCGATCCATGGCCACACGTCACCAGCCTCGTTGTCTGCGAAGGGACCACAGGCCTATCGCAACCCGGAAAGCCGAGCGATTTGCAGTTCCATGTTCCGAGTTTTCAATCGTAGTCCTTGTTTCGTCGCGTAGGTCTGTGCTGATTGTTCCGATCCGTATTTCGTCTTGGGTATTTGCACCTTTGTATTTTTTTTTCAGGGCGGCTTGTTGGACCTGCCCCAAGCACAGCTCTGTTTAAAGTTCAACGTTGGCACTAGGTGATCAACCGCTCCTAACATGAAGAACAGACGCCGTTTGAGCCGAACCTCCATGGTGAGCAGACGCTCGGGTTTGGTGAAGCATTTCCTCTATCACCGTATTATGGCTACCGCGCCAGTGATGGCGTCGCATCTCTTCACTTTGCTATTTCCTGACTGGAAACATTACCCAGGCTACGTCATCCAGCTGTGTCCATGTTTCAGCTGGTAGTCCTTTGTTATCATATGATTCGGGGAGGCCTGAGGTAGGAACTTGTAAGGACCAGAGTGAGGTATCCCGCTCCTTCCGAGTTGTCAACTCACCATTATGTAGCCCAAAAATCTAGTTACAGATATTCAACGCCTACTTTGGTCGTAGCCTAATTTGATGCCACGCTTGTTTTGGAGTCGAATCGGTTTGTGATGTGCATCAGATATCAAAAAACATAATAAGGGGAAATGGCTCTAATGTAGGCCTATGCATATAAGATTGAGCCCATCACTAAAAAATCATTATTTATCAATTTTATCTAGATGAACGCGTCATCGGGACGGTACTTATAGGTATTTTTGGTTGCTTTTGAAAATTTAGTCGATTGCTGAATTTATGTATGGGTCCAAATTGGGGGCATTTAGGCTGACATTACATCCATTTCCCCTATGTACTTTCGAAAGTTTTCGAATCATAGGGATGTTATGTACTTGAAGTAATCGTGTTTGTATTACTTCATGCGTGATGTTAATGATTTACATAGTTCTAGATGCTTATACCCCGTTCACATTACAGCGTATATCACGTGATATACGCTGTTTTGCAATGAGCACTCATACATCTAGTTTTCACTGGAAATCCTATGTATGAGTGCTCATTGCAAGACAGCCTATATTACGTGATATAGGCTATAATGTGAACGGGGTATTAGCGTCAATATCAGACTTAAAGTGGACATTTTATACGATGAGGATATGATAGTATAGAATTGATAATTCCGTTATAGGACGGCACTATGTATAGGGTAAGTGAGCCAGTTATGGCACTAGCTCTCCAGTTTTAAGCCTTAGGGTCTAGCTCAAATTTTAATTAAATTCGTATGGTTTTATTCACGTAGGCATATGACAATACACCGTTCTGATACA